CCCCGGGGCGGGGGCGGGGGCAGCGCTGCCCGGGCGGGCACAGCCCAGACGAGTCACCGCGGGCGGGGGAACGTCTGCCCGGCACCGGCACCGGCACACACCGGCTTCCCGGGATCCCCGACCTCCTCCCGGGATCCCAACCCTCCTCCCGGGACCCCCGGGACCCCCGCAGCCGCCGCCATGGGGAACACAACTTGTGTCCCTCAGGCCCCCGGGGGGTTCAGAAGCTCTTTCCGAAGGAAACCCTCGCTGAAAAAAGAGTGAGTACTTTTGCTTGGACTCCGGGCTGCTTTCCCAGGGCTGCTGCCCCCCCTGCTGCCCCCTCCCCGCCATGGAACCGGGCTGGGAATGCAGCCCCGGGCTGGGAAAGCCGGGAGCTCCTGATGGGCTGGGCAGGATCGGGGGTTCCCGGGGGTTCCCGGGGGTTCCCGGGGTGCCGGGAGGTGCCCGAGGCACTTCCACAAGTGGTTGGGAAGGGAACCCCGGGATCTGCCCCCGGGAGAAAGGAGGGTTATTTCAGTGGGTTTGGAAAAGAAGTCCCCAGGCAGGGCCGGGTGCTCATCCCCTGCTGCTCCTTGTTTCCACTTGTTCCTTATTTTTTTGTGTTTTCCTTTAAATTCCCAAGTCCCAGAGCTGTGGTGCTGTGTGCTGGGAAACCCCAGCATTCACACTCACCTGTCTTAGTTCAGAGAGAAAGCCCCACACCCCAGCACTGCCCCTGTCACTGAAGGAAGACACAAATGGCTCCAAACTCCTCTGGGGACTTGGGTGCAGGGCTGGCCAGGACAGTGTGCAGGTAGCCCAGAGAGGGATGGCTGTCCCAAAATAGAGCCCAGCAGGGAGTGCTGGGCAAACTGCCCCTTTCCCACTGCCTGTGCTGCTGTGCCAGGGCTGCTGGTGGTACCTGGGCACACCTGAAGCAGAGCTCTCCCCATCCTGAGCACTCTGGGCTGGAAAGCAGCTCTGTTGGGAACCTTGGTGGTCCGTCATGAACCCACCACACTCATCTATGTGGGGTTCAGCATCCTGGGCTTTCAGACAAACCCCCTGAACTCTGCAAGGCTGAGGGGTTTCTAATCCAGAGGAGATGCTGAAAGTGTCCCCTGGGTCTCCTGCACTGCCAAGCCAGGAGCAGAGCTGTAGGAGCCTGTGGAGCTACTGTGGGGCAAAAGAGAGGGGATCATTTGGGGAGCTGGGACCCTGGAGGGTTGATGTTGGGTATCTGCAGTGGAGTGGCCAAGCCCCAGAGCACCTCCCATCCCCACTGACTTCCAGCTTCCCACGCTCGTGGCTCTCTGTGGAGATAAGCCTGGTTTCTGCTGAACTACCTGCTGCAATCTGGTTGAGACAGCAACTGCTGGGAATTCCCAACAAACCAGTCCCAGTGCTTCTTAAATGGCATTGGAAGCTGCTGGTGGATGGTGGGGAAGCTGGGGGCCTTGCTGGGAATGGAAGGCAAGAGAGAGGAAAGCCACAAAGATAGAAACAAAACCTGTTTATGAATCCATGCTGGTGTGTGTGTACACATGCATCTCCAGGCTTTGGAATTGTCACCAAGGCTGGATTTGGTCTTTGTTGTGCAATGGAACAGCACTCCACTGATGAAGAGACCCAAACGAGCCTAGCTTATCATTTGGTTATGAAAAGACATGTAAAAGCACCAAAAAACTCCAACAAGAGCAGGACAAACTCCCTTACAACTCTCCCAGGCTGTTTATCAGCCCTTTGCTGGGCTGGGATGATTAGAAAGCCTGTGACAAATTGCTTACTTAGCTTTCATGGTTCCTTATTTCTGGTCAGGATTCACTATGCATCAGCCTAGATCTGTGTTTGCATGTGTGCTTTGGTTTTTTTTCTCCCTTCTGTAGACAAACTGACAAGAAAAAACTGCCCAGGTTTTTTGGTCTAGAAGGAGGGCAGGAGAGAGATACAACCACAGACAAAATCCTGCAATATATTCCAGGAAAGGCAAGTACAAACACATCCAACCCCCCTCCCCACTGCTCCCAGAGATCATTCCCACCCACCCCGAGGACAGCATGGTGCAAAAGAGGGATGGTGAGGCTGGATCAGGGAGTAGCAGCAGGGCCTGTCTGGAGGAGATGGAGATCAGGTCTGCAGCCCTGTGGCCTTGACAGCAGCAGAGCCAACTGCTCCAGGTTCCCCATGCAGGTGTCAGGGGACCCACCACCAGCCCAGAGGTGTGTGTTGGGGTGGGTTGTGCTGAGGGCAACACGGGTGGTGGGAATGTCTCTCACACCCCTTTGCTCTGGGTTCCTTTGTTTCTCAGCAGCCTGAGAGGGAAGGGGAAATTAGAGCAAGCATTCAAAGGTAGGGTGATTCATTCCCACGCTGGAATGAGACGGAGCAGGCAGGGTATTAGCAATGAGCCTGGGGAAGGTAATCAGGAAGGGCAGGTCTGTCCCAGGCACGTACCAGCCTTGTGGCCATATGGCCCATTTCCCAGCAGGGCTCAGGGAAAGCAGAGGTGAAACCATGAACCCCCCAAAAGGTTTGCTCAGTCCCTTTGGGTGGGACAGGGGTGTGGACTGAGCTTCGGGTACCCGTGGGGCTGTCCCGTGCATGTGTCACCCCCCTGCATGGCAAAGAGGCCATGTGGGGCTGGGGGAAGGGGAAACTGAGGCAGGGAGTCAGCAGCAGGGTGTTTTCTCTGGATGGTTTCAAGCTGCTGGTCAGGTGTGTGTCACTGGTGGTGAGGTGCTTGTCATGGGCTTGGTGTGCTGCAGGACCTGGTTCTGAGAGCCCTGCTGAGGTACTTTGGGATGCTGCAGCAATTCAAACATCTGCAGGGACCCTGCAGTCCCTTTCCAACCAGCTGCCCCCAGGTTGGCCCTTTTCATCTCCAAATTACCTTTGCTTTTCCTCCTGTGTGCCTGAAAAGGGAGCAGGACTGGGATCCTCCTCCTGGCATCCAGAGCAGTTGGGCAGCACCTGAAGGGATGAGGCCTCTGGTGGATGCTGGATACTTTCCCTGTGGAAGCAGGGAGACCCATCATGTTAAGTGGCTCCTGGAAACTGAATCCCGTGAGCTGACAGGACAAAGGTCACTGGGAGATTATTCCTTCAGGGCACAAGAGAGTGTGGGATCTCTTCAAGGAAGGAAGGAGGGTGGAGCAGTTGTTTAGATGTTACCCTCACCTGGGGAAGATGGGATTCAGACTCCCTTCTCAGCCACAAGCTCCTTGTGAGGCCTGGAGAAAGCCTCAGCTTAGCTCCTTTCCCACTCCCATCTTTTCAGGAGAAACACCTCCAGGGGCAGGAGGTGCCTGGGTGCTGCAGGGCCAGGTTGAAGAGGTGCTGTCAGCTCGGGACTCTTCCATGCAGTCTCAGAGGGGATGGGGTGACCAAACTGTTGGGCATGACAGGCAGTTTGAGCCTGAGACAAGTGACATCCCTGAAAACCAGCCCAGCCTGGGAGCCTGCTGCAGGCAGCTGGCACACACAGCCACCACCTTCTGCCCCCATCAGCCTTCTGCCCCGTTTCCCACACTTCCCAATCAGGGCTTCTGTGAAGCCTAAGCAATGAGGGGTGAAAAGGATGTGCCAGAGGAGCGGGTGCTTCTCATTTGCTTCTTTTATCTTTGAAGAGCAGCTTTCAGAGCCCCGGGGCACCAGCCTTGCAAGGCTGAGCTCTTCCTGCTGCCAGGGTTAGTGATTCAGCTGGGAGTCACTGGGGGCTGCAGGGGCTGTGCAGGTTAATTAGTAACTTGCTCTACTTGTAGGATGAGGCAGAGAGAGAGGAACATGTCAGGGCACTTGCACTGCCAGAGCCCTGCTGCTCCACCAAACCTGTGAGGAACCAGGTTCCCAGTGATCCCACTGCTTCAGGGCCAGCAGGATGAGCTAACGGGAACAGTGCTGGCTGGGCTGGGGCAGGAGGCTGCTGGTCACCAGCACAGCACAGCCCAGCCTGGGGACTCAACTGGCTGGGGAGGGCTTCAGAGGGGTGACACATACTCTTTCCTGTTCATTTTGACTGCAAACTGAGGCTTCCCCTTGATTTTGGGGATGTGTGGGCCAAGGATGTAACTGATGCTCGTGGAGGGGGCTGTGACAGCCCTTGTCCCCAGCCCTCACAGGACACCATCAGGCTCCCAGTGCTGCTTTTTGGGGGACAGCCAAATGCAGGTTGTGCTAGTGGCCTGGCAGAGACAACCACAGACTTGGAGGTGGCATCTGTGAGCACTTTGTCTGCCCGTGCTACCTGCCAGCCTGCTTGGCCATGCCACTGCCTGCATTGCCTGGGCACTGGGTCAGACCCCAGCTGGTGGGCAGGCCAAGGCTCAGCTTTTCCATTTCCCAGCAGGAAAAACAGGGATTGTGCTTGCTTTTGGGTTTAGTGCTGTCCAGCTTCCCACTGCTGCTCTCCTGAGATGTGGGCAGGAACCTGTGGAAAGCTGTGAGGGCAGTTCTTGTACATACCCAAAATTGTCTTCATTTTGGGAAGTCCCCAGTGAAAGACATAAAATTGCTAAAAAAACCCAACAAACCAAGAGAGATCTGCCTGACAAAAGAAAAGCAATACCCCAGATAGACCTGAACAGTCCCACTTCTTCCTCTGCTACCACAATACCTGCTCATGGGTGATAAGACTGCTATGGCTTGGAAGCCTGGTGTGGCACAGGTGGCCAGGGACAGGGGCTGCAGCTGAGAAGGTGGCAGGAGATTTCAGTGACAGGATCCTGTTTTGTCCATGGTCTTGGAGATGCTGCCATGCTTAGCCACTAAATCCAGTTGTCCTCTCAGTCTTGCTGCAAGATTGAGATACACCTGAGCTAGCTGCTTGGTTTGGAGCTGGAGGTGCTCTGTTTGTTTCTTGCCACATTTCCTGCTATGGAAGTTCTTCCCTCCTCACCCCAGGAGAATTCCTGGGGAAGCTGAACCCTTTGCCAAAACAACTGCTGGATTCCCAGGTTGCTTTTGATTCTTGGGACTTCACTTCTTGCTGGGGAATTGGGCTGCCAGGTTCCAGGCAGCAGCAGCAGCTGGACAGCTGGTCACCAGCCTTGCTACTTCTCACCGTGCCCATGACTTCCTTGCTTTCTCCTCTCCCTGCTCCCTCTGGCTGCCTTAGTTAGAGCTGTGTTTTGGTTGTGCTGCCACAGTTGTCAGGTGATCAGTTGCTCTTTGTTCTGACAGTGGCCTCTAGCACTAATGTGATCTTTCCCTGTGCTTAATTGCCTCTTGTGAGATGATGAATTGGCAGCCAGCATGTTCCCACCTCCAGGGCAGGACCTGGGTGCATGTTCCTGGGTGCTGTATGGAGCCAGATGGAAGATCATAGAATCCCAGACTGGTCTGGGTTGGAGGGGGCCTTAAAGATCCTCTAGTTCCAACCCCCCTGCCATAGCCAGGGACACCTTCCACTAGACCAGGACTTGTGCACCTTTAAGTTCTTTAGATGGTCTTGAATCTGCTCTTCTCCCACAGTGGGTTGATCGTCCTTCTCCCAGTTGCTGCCTTTGCCTTCTGCAACTTGGGTGGGAAGGAGGAAAGTAGGAGGGAGATTTTGAGGAGAGGAGGGGTTATCTTGTGTCCTAAAGAAAGTTACCTCAAGTCCATGGGGCCCTGGAAGGAACCCCAAGCTCTGCAGGTGGGAGGGTCCCAACAGCATGAGTTTCCTGTCTGATCCACCAGGTCCCCCCTGGCCTGAGCACTGCCACAGTTAGGAGGGGGGTTCAGCTCATGCCTGAGGGGTGAGTCAGGGAGGCCCCAGCAGGACAGCTCTGGTTGGCTCTGCTGGCTCCATGTTTGTCATGGGCTTCTGCAGCTGTTTCCTTGGCAAGGCAGGCTGGGAGGTGCTGGCTGCTGGAAGCCCCAGGCTGACACTCCATCCCTGTGAGCCCCAGCAGCCTGCTCCATGCTCATTCCTGGAAATGCTCTTTGGAGCCCTGGAGACCCACGTGCCACCACTCCATCCCTGTCTCCCAGCTCCAGCTCCATGCCTTGTTGGAAGCATCCCCAGTGCTCAGAGTGGGGTCCTCACAGAGCAGCAGCACAAACTTTGTGTTTGCCACTGAGGCTGACACTCCATCCCTGTGAGCCCCAGCAGCCTGCTCCATGCTCATTCCTGGAAATGCTCTTTGGAGCCCTGGAGACCCACGTGCCACCACTCCATCCCTGTCTCCCAGCTCCAGCTCCATGCCTTGTTGGAAGCATCCCCAGTGCTCAGAGTGGGGTCCTCACAGAGCAGCAGCACAAACTTTGTGTTTGCCACTGACCTTTCTCTTTCACTTGGGAATGGATATCCCAGAGCCTGTGCCCTGTCCAACAAAGCTGACACTTGAGATATACAAGTGGGGTGTAGATCTGGGGGGAATCAGTGGTATCCACTGGGATACAGCCCTTCCCAAGGAAATCAGCCGACCCCTAGAAATAAAAACCTTCTTAGAGAAACTGCAGGGAGAGCTTCTCACCCCTGGGATTTTTGCAGTACCCAGACAGTGCAACAGCAGCCCCAGGCCGTGGGGGTGTGGGTTTGGGCCACTGCATGGAAGGAAGAAGTTCCATATAACCAGAATGCAGGAAACAAGGGAGCCCCCAGCCCCAGGTACCAGCCCCTCTGGGGGTGCTTGCTGCCTGCCCTTAGCTTTTTGCACTGATGATGAGCAGCTCCACCACTTTTTTTCACTGCACCCCCTTTCTCCCCAATCCAGAAAACCTCCATTTAGGTCAGTCCCTTGCCTAGGGAGGACAACCTCCCAGCAGTACCTGAGCCTCAGCTCCACACTAGCACAGAGATCCAACAACAAACAGTCCAGCCTGGGCACCTGGCCAGGGTGCCTTTCTGGGGGAGCTCTTCTGGGATGATGTTCTGGGAATGTCTCTTCTAGACATGAGGCTCCCACCAGCTCTGATTTGCTTTTCCTGAATCCTTGGTACAGAATATTCAGAACCAGGAAAACCAGAAAGAAAACTTGGACCAGAGGTTCCCCAGCCTGTTCAAGAAGGGAAGAAGGAAAACGGTTGTCAGGAATCTGGGAAAAATGATCTATTACTCCAAGGTCAAGTTTAAATTTCAGCACTGCCAGGTAAGCTTCTCCACCTGTTTGTGGGTGTTTCTCTTCCCAGGCACAAGATGACCATGCAGGACTGGGAAGCAAGGTGTCATTCTGGGAAACATGACTCATAGAGACTTCTTCCTTGGGCTACTGCATGGCTCAGGGGCTTCTGCTGCCATATAGTCCATGGGTACCAGCTGGTGCCCATGGGCTCAAATCCCAGTGGGAACTTGGTCAGAGAGGCAGAGGTGGCCCTTGGATAAGTCACTGCTGGTTTTTCTATGCCCAGATCAGCCCAAGGTGCAGAGGGAAGCTGGGAGGAGGAAGGTGTCCTGAGATAAACCCCAAAATGTGTCTTTTCTGCAGGAGGTGAATGACTGCTTCTTGGAGCTGTTCCAGTCCTACCTGTACTTCCAGTCTGTGGGCTCCAACGGACTCACCTACCAGGTAGGGCATCCCAGGGGCATCCCAGTGCCAGCTGGGTCCTTGCAGTTGAACACTGTGAGCCACAGCAACCTGCTGCTGCTGAGTCTGGACTTCCACCTTCTGAAGTCAAAAGGGCAGGAATTGCAGAGCCTGCCTGTGGGCTGCCCCCCAGATAACAGTGTGTCCTCCTTCTGCAGGGGCTGCTGCCTTTGAAAGAGCTGAATGTGTGTGAAATAGAGGCTGGGCAGGGCCCTGGGCAGCAGGAGCACGCGCTCCACATCGCAGGTTGGTGTCTTCTTTGTTTGCTCTGAGCACAGCACAGAGGGTGGGTGAATCACGACTGTCTCTGCTCTTTGTCCTGCTCTGACCCAGCCCCAGAGAACAACCACACTGTGGGAAGAGGTTGCAGAGAGCTGAAGCTCTTCCTCCCAGCATCTGTATCTTTCCTTCCAAGGTTTCCCTGCTTCTAAATGCCTGGACAGTGATGGCCAGGGCTGCAGGAAGGGAAGGGCTGGATAGGGAGTGCAGAGGAAGGATGGTCCTTGCTCCCAGTGGTCAGGACACATGGTGATAGTCCCCACCTGTGCCCTATCAATTGCTCTTTGTGCACCACATTTGAATGAAGGGATGGAATGAAACTCCTCACAAGCCCCCAAGAGTAGCAGTTACAGCATGAAGTACATAGAAGTAAATAAGTAAGAGTAAGAAAGCTCGTTTGTGTCCTGTGCCCACAGTCTATGTCCTCTGGTGTCCTTTGTCAGAAAGTTGTACAAGGGCCACTCAAACAAAAAAAATTGCATAAATTATAGAAAGGAGCTGGTACAAATGACCCACCAGTTTGGAGCCTGCTGAGTTGTGGTCTTGTTGCACTGTGCTTGGCCGGGCCCTCCAACTCTTCTTTGGAGACTGTAAAGTGAAGGAAAACTTCTCCCAGGCATAACCTGCCAGGAGGGTGGGTGGACTTGTTCTGCTTGTATTAGAACATGCAGGAGTGTGGCTGGGTGGAAAATGGCCTGAGACTTTGTTGTTGGGCTTGTGTCCTGCTTAGGGAGAGAACAAACCAAGGCCCTTCTGGCTGAGAGTGCTTCAGGAAGCAGTGACATGAAGAAACCAGGGAGGCAGCAATATTTGGGATTGCCAGGAGATCAGTGCAGCAGTTTTGCTCTTCTGCTTGAGGAAGAGAAATCAAGACATGGAGGGAATAAGAGCCTTGTCCCTGGCCACACACAGGGTGGAAGTCTTTTGTCTCATGACTCTGAGGCACAACAGGCACGCATCCATACGCTTGTGAAATCTGGTGGCATCAGTGGTTCCCCATGAAGTGCCCTTTTAGGGTAGTTTGGTACCTCAGAAGATCACTGGAAGTGTGGAGGTGGAGCTGAGGACAAAGCCTGGCAGCGTGCAGAGCCATCCCTTGGTGTCCTGGCATAGAGAAGTGGATGGCAGCTGGCCACCGGCTTGGCTTTGTGGTCCATCTCTTGCCCACCCCCTGGTGCCAGTGAAGTTGTTGAGCACCTTGAGTTCATTCTGCCTCACCTGCAGATGTTGTAACTTTTTTGTGTCCCCTGACACAGAGATTTGGGTAGGAATAAACTGCTGCTCTTCCAGGAAAGGGCTTTCTTGTTTCCAACGTTCCTCTGGACAAGGAAAGAGGAAGGACAGGGCAGAACAGAAGAGCACGAGGGCTGGCACAGGTTGCTCAGCATGGCTGTGTCATGGCCCTGCCACAAACGTGCCCCTGGGGTTGAGGGAAATGGCAGCAACTGAATTAGCAGCAGCTTTTCAGGCTCTACTTCCCAGCCTCCCCAGCAGCTCCTTGCTCAAGCTCCAGGCACATCTCAGGCTCAGGCAGGAGTTTCTCTTCTCCTTTTCTCTTCCCCTGGGTCCCTGTTTAGATATGGCAACATGAGCAGCCCTCAGGACACATCTGAAAGGCTGGCCTTGCAGGAGGTGGCAGAGCAAGCAGGGCCACCTTAAGAGTCATGCCCTACCAGAAGGATTCCTGATGTT